GATCACAAACACTCAAATATAGCAAAACAAAGAGAAATTCAGTCCCCAGAATGGAGTATCCACCAGGAACCCAAAGACTGGGAGTAGCAGGTTCCCATGTACCTTTTGACCCAGAGTCCAACAGTGCAGCTCTACTAGACCAAGCATGCAACTTGACAGCAGCACACCTTGTGCTGTTTGACCTGGAGACCAAAACAGCACTTCTGTGCTAGGTCAAACAGGCACTTGGACAGCAAGTTCACCACATGCCCATGGACCTGAAGACCGACAATTCAGCTCTGGGCTAAGCCAAGCACACATCTGGAAAGCAGGCACACCGTGTGCTCTGGGACCTGGAACCTAACAATACAGTTCTGTGATAGGCCACACAGACACATGGACAGTGAGCTAGTCATGTGTAATTGATAGGGAGACCAGCAACTCACTTCTGTGCTGGGCCAAACAGGCACCTGTATAAAGAGCTCTTCATGTCCTAAAGGAGCTGGAGACCAACAACACAGCTCTGCTCTAATCCAAGCAGGCACATGGACAGCAGGCTCACCTTGTGCCCTTGGATGTGGATCATTTCTTCCCCAAGAGCACAAAGCAATCGAACATTGGGTTTGCCACTTGGTCTCAGATTATGGGACCTCCAAACCTGCTCAGCACTGTACCAATGTGTCCATTGGAACAATGGCTACCTGGGAGTCTTCAAACCATGAGCCCTCCATTGCAGCTTAGCACTGGGTAAAAAAGCCACTGGGACACCAGTGTGACCCAACACTTTCTGACTGGACACCTTTCAACTCCACAGAGAAGTAAGCATTAGAGTTCCTTCTCACCTGGGATTTACTTCAGACTGAGGTCCTTGGGGCCTGCTACCTGTGCATTATTCACCTTTTGGGGAGGTCTCCTCCTCAAAGGGAATGACACCATGCCCTAGAAGATGAAACACCCCTGTGGTTTGAAGACTTTGTATTAAAATTCAAGACAGGAAATGGGAGAGGATGTTGTAGAGGAAACTCAGGCCTGGATCACTGTGGAGTCATTGTCTGAGTTCTTCCAGTTGAAGGAGAGATGCTCCATCCTCAAGGGAGAGGTAGAGGTCTTAAGACAAAAGGTCAAGCAGTGCAGTGAGAGGCAGGCTCAGCTCCATAAGGTAGAGAGGTTCCTCATTCCAGTGAAGGTCTTTCTGGAAGTTTCTGCCTTACACACAGTGCCCAAGGGTGACACCTGTGCACCCACTCATGATGACATAGAAAGGGAGTTGGCAAAGCTGTGGTCATCTCCAGGAGTGAATTTGAATATTGAATATTGAATATGAATATTAGGGAAAATAAGCTACTTTAAATGATCATTTCTAAATGAGTTATTTATGAGAAACAACCCCCGGGGTGATTGTGACATGCAGTCTGGCTTGCAATCACTACTGCCCTGATGATTTATCTCATTCTCCTGATGCTGGGATCTCCCAGCTCTAATAATGTGTCGGTGAAGCAGAGCTGACCCTGAGCACAATGTGCCTGTAACCATCAACACTTTCAGATATACTGATCTCTACAACCCAAGCACAGCTGATGAGATCACCACCATTATAATTGGAAGGAAAAGAAAAATAGTATGGCTTTATTCAAGGATCTTTTGCATAAAGTATTTCTGGATGAGACCTCCTAGTGGACTGTTGCTAATCTTGAGGTGTGACCCTAATATTATGGCTTCAGACTGGCCATGACAACAGGGGTTTCTCCATGACAGGTTCCTGTGTGATGCAGGCCTTGGAAGAACAAATATGACAAGATCAGGGTGTCAGGAAGGAGGGAGTCCAGAGACATGGGACATTCCCTGTTTCTGGATAAGGAGGTGTGGAGTCAGGACAGTAGGCAAAGTGGTATGAGAGGCCAGGATGGTGGCTCTGTTCTCACCAAAGAAACACTGCTAGAAATGGGGAAGATATGGGGGATTCACATTAGGTGCTTTAGGTGCCTGAGTGTTTGCACAGAGTAAGATACATTGCAAGAGAGGTGGAAAAGGGTGCACCTTAGAGGTCTACTCGGGCATGAAGGAAAAGGGCTACTTCTAAGAGGTAGAATGCAGGTTTTATGATAAATCGGACACTGGGCTCAGAAGGCAGTTAGGCAGTTAGAGGTTCCACGTCCAGGACCTCCTGGGAAATGGCCCCTCTTAGCTCCAGGGATGTGGGCTGGAAGCTCAGGTGAGGTATAGATCTCAGTGAGCTGGTCCCCACATATGGCTACAGCTCCACTGGAAGGGGAGGGACCTAGATCTGTGGCTCCTGGTCTGAGCTCAATCAAGGCAGTGTACTCATAGTACCTGGACATACACAGATGGGATCCATAAAAAAGCTTCCTGTGGGCATGGAAAGTGAACTTCAGAGAGACATGGGAATTGGGAGGCTTACATCTCTAATAAGATGGATGGTGTCTGAAGTGATTTGACAGTGGTGCTTTCAGGAGCCAGGGTAGAGACTGGTAGAGTCCAGGTCACTTAGATGTATGGGGGATGTGGGTTGCTTATGTGATTCCAGCACTTGCAACCTCCTCTGCTGAGCTGCTCAGACCCTGTTCACCATGCCTTGGTTTCCACAAACACGAGGCTCCTGGGTAGGCTAGCACCCCAGTGCTGCTCACCCCTTGAATCCCCATTCCTTCATCTCTACAATGGGAGCAAATTTGTTTGGAGGTGATTCTGTGAGCAGGAGACAGGGGGTGACAGGTTTGGGGAGGAGATCTACCAGGTCAGGGGACAGATGCAGTCCAGGGTGGGGGGGGGGGTAAGAAACAAGGGTAAACTCTGAGCTGGGTCCCTGTCCTGGCCTTTCTTCCCCAAAGGCAAAAGCATCAGCTCTGGGAGGACAGCAGTCTTGGTGCTACCTCTATCCCATAACTGGCCTTCTCTGCCCCCTAGAGCTACAAGGCTTCACAGCCCAGCACCCACCTAGTCACAGACCTGCACCAAACACCTCCTGCCTTCTTCACTGCTGCATGATACATACACCTTAGGGTCCTTAGGCTTTTAGGGATGCTTGGAGCTCCAGTGAGCCAGGGTGGGACTGCTAGTTCTAAAGACTATTCTGAGGTGTGTTGACACTGCTACATAAATAGGGAATTGGAGAGGTAGATTTATAGATTCACAAGAAGCTTCAGATAGTACAGAAAGGTCCCTTGACAGACAACGATTTTTGTTGTTTCCAGTCTTTCAGCAATTACAAATAAACCTGCAGTGAACATTTGTGCAAAGTTTTTTTTGTGGGAGTTTGAATTTTCATTCTCTGAGATAGAGGTCAAACAGAGCTTGCTAGGTTGTAGGGTTTATGCTTCACTTCTGTAGAACCTACCAAACTGCCTTACCAGAGTCTCTGTTCCATTTACATTCCCAACAGCAATGTAGGAGAACTGGCTCTTTCCAACATTTGATGTTTTACTGTTTTATATTTACCAGCTGTCCTAACGGGTGGGTAGTAATGATAATTCAGTCAGGTTTTCATTAGCATTTCCCTCATGGCTAGTGATGTTGGACATTTTTTTTTCTCTTGTGCTTATTTGTCATCTGCATGTTCCCTTGGAGAAATGTCTGTTCATGTCTTTTGCCCATTTTCTATTTGGAGATAGATAGAGATAGATAGATAGATGATAGATAGATAGATAGATAGATAGATAGATAGATAGATAGATATAGATGATAGATAGATAGATAGATAGATAGATAGATAGATAGATAGATGATAGATAGATAATTTTCTGTTGAAGGTTGAGTTCTTTGCATTTCTATACAGAAGTTCTTTGTCAGATAATATGGTTTGCAACTACACTCACCTCATTAATAGCTTGTCTTTTCATGTTCTTAATACAAGCAAAGTTCTTAGGAGAGCAAAAGTTTTCAATTTTGGTAAAGTCCTATTTATCAAGTGTTTTTTTTCTTTAATGCAGTGTACTTTCAGGGATATTTTAAGAACCCAGAAATTTCTATGTCCTGAAGATCTTCTCCTATGCTTCATTTGTAAAAGATTTATGGTTTTATGTTTTACTTTGAATTAATGCTGCCATACCTTTGAGTTCACATTTGTATAAGAGGTGAAGTTTAGATGGAGGTTTGTTTGTTTGGTTTGGTTTGGTTTCTATATCAATGGATGTCCAATGGCTCTGACACATTTCACTGAAAATACTATCCTTCTTATTAGTGGATTTTTCACCATTGTCAAAAAATCAGTGAGTCATACTGGCATAGATCCTCTACTGGATACTTCTATGAATCATTTCCTCCAGCAATACTACATTTTCAGAATGATTTCTCCTGTTTCTTCATTTTTTAAAAAAAATTTCTTTTGTTTAATTTAAATTTGAGTTAGTTAACACATAGTATCTTATTAGTTTCAGGGCTAGAATTGAATATTATAATATATATACATATATAGATATCTATATCTATATATCTATATCATCTATATCTATATCTATATATGTCCACCTCTTCTTTACCCAATCATCTGTCAGTGGACACCTAGGCTCTATCCATAGTTTAGCAATTGTGGACATTGCTGCTGTAAAATTGAGGTGCAAGTTTCCCTTCAAATCACTATATTTGTATCCTTTGGATAAATATCTAGTAGTGTAATTGCTGGGTCATAGAATAGTTCTATTTTTAACTTTTTGTGGAATCTCTATACTGCTTTCCAGAGTGGCTGCACCATTTTCCACCCTCACCAGTAGGGTAAAAGTGTTTTTCTTTTCCCATCTTCACCAACACCTGTTGTTCCATAACTTAATTTTAGCCCCTCTGACAGATTTGAGGTAGTGTATCACTGTGATGTTGATTTATATTTCTCTCATGATGAGTGATCTTTTTAAATTTTAAAGGTATTTTTAATTTCATTTGACAGAGATTGAGGGAATACAAGCAAGGGGAGCAGCAGCAGAAGGAGAGGGAGAAGCAGGGAGTCTGATGTGGGGCTTGATACCAGGACCCTGGAATCATGACCTGAGCCAAAGGCAGCTGTTTAATTGACTGAGCCACCCAGGCGCCCCTGTGATGAGTGATCTTGAACATATTTTCGTGTGTCTGTTAGCATTTTGTATGCCTCAATTGAAGAAGTATCTGTTCTTGTCATCTGCTCATTTCTTGACTGGATTATTTGTTTTTCAGGTATTGAGTCTGATAATTCTTTAGAGTTGTTGGATACTAGCTCTTTATCTGATAAGTTATTGCAAATATCTTCTTCCATTCTGTCAGTTGTCTTTTGATTTTGTTGACTGTTTCCTTTGCTGTGAAGACATTTTTTATCTTGATGAAGTCCCAATCGTTCATTTTTGCCTTTGTTTCCCTTGCCTATCTGGAGACATGTCTAGCAAGGTATGGACAAGTTTGAAGAGCTTGTTGCCTGTGTTTTCCTCGAGAATTTTGTCCTTCATCCATCTCATCCATCTTGTGTCTATTTTTGTGTATGGTGTAAGGAAATGATCCAGTTTCATTCTTTTGAATGTGGCTGTCCAATATTTCCAACACCATTTGTTGAAGAGACTGTCCTTTTTCCACTGGATATTCTTTCCTGCTTTGTTGAAGATAGTTGACCATAGAGTTGAGTGTCCATTTCTGAACTCTCTATTCTGTTCTGTGGATCTATGTGTCATTTTTGTGCCAGTACCATACTACCTTGATGATTACAGCTTTATAATACAGCTTAAAGTCAGGCATTGTGATGTCCCCGGCTTTGTTTTGTTTTGTTTTGTTTTTCAATATTCCTTTGGCTATGTTTATTCCTATGGCTAACATTCCTTTCCACTCCTATTCAGAATATTCTCTGGTTCTAGACAAATTTTAGGATTATTTGTTATAGTTCTGTGAAAAAAAAGTTGATGGTATTTTGATAGGGATTGAATTGAATGTGTAGATTGCTCTAAGTAGCATAGACCTTTTAACCCTATTTATTCTTTCAATCTTTGAGCATGGAACATTTTCATTTCTTTGTGTCTTCCTCAATTTCTTTCATGAGTATTCTATAGTTTGCTGAGTACAGATCCTTCACCACTTTGGTTAGATTTATTCCTAGGAATCCTATGGTTTTGGGTGCAATTGTAAATGGAATTGACCCCTTCATCTCTCCTGTCTCATTATTGGTGTATAGAAATGCAACTGATTTCTGTACATTGATTTCATATTCTACCACATTACTGAATTCTTGTATGAATTCTTGCAATTTTGGGGTCGAGTTTTTGGGTTTTGCACATAAGAGTATCACATCATCTGCAAAGAGTGGAGTCTGATGTTTTCTTTGCTGATTCAGATTCCTTTTATTTTTGTTGTTGTTGTTGTTGTCTGATTGATGAAACTAGGACTTTTAGTACTATGTTGGACAACAGTGGTGATTGTGGACATACCTGCTGTGTTCCTGAACTTAGGAGAAAAGCTATTGGGTTTTCCCCACTGAGAATGATATTTTCTGTGGGTTTTTCATAGATGGCTTTTATGATATTAAGGTATGTATTTTTTATCCCTACACTGTAGAAAGTTTTAATCAAGAAAAGATACTGTACTTTGTCGAATTCTTTTGTCTGTATCTATTGAGAGAATCAGATGGTTCTTGTTTTCTTTTATTTATGTGCTATATCACATTGATTTGTGGATGTTGAACCAAACTTGCAGCCCAGGAATAAATCCTACATAGTCGTGGTAAATGATCCTTTTAATGTACTGTTGGATCTATTGGCTGGGATTTTGGTGAGAATTCTTGCATCCATGTTCATAAGGGATATTGGACTGTACTTCTTTTTGGTGGGGTCTTTGTCTGGTTTTGGGGTCAAGGTAATGCTGGCCTCATAAAACGAGTTTGGAAAATTTCCTTCCATCTCAGTTTTTTTTTGAAATAGCTTTGGAGGAATAGGTATTAATTCTTCTTTAAATGTTTGGTAGAATTCCCCAGGGAAGCCATCTGGTCCTGGGCTTTTGTTTCTTGAGAGATTTTTGTTTCTGCTTCAATTTACTTGCTGGTTATGGGTCTGCTCAGGTTTTCTATTTCTTCCAGGTTTATTTTTGTAGTTTATGTTTCTAGGAATGCCTCCGTTTCTTCCAGATTGTCTAATTTTCATATATATTTGCCCATATATGTCATATATTGCCCATAATATGCTCTTTAATTGTTTATATTTCTTCAGTGTTAGTTGTGATCTCTCTTCTTTCAACCATGATTTTATATATTTGGGACCTTTCTCTTTTTTCTTTTTGATAAGTCTAGTCAGGGGGTTATCGATATTAATTCTTTCAAAGAACAAGCTCCTAATTTCGTGATCAGCTCTACTGTTCTTTTTGTTTCTATTTCATTGATTTCAATGCCAATCTTTGTTATTTCTCTTCGCCTGCTGGCTTTAGGCTTTATTTGTTTTCTTTCTCCAGCTCTTTTAGGTCCAGGGTTAGGCTGTGTAACTGAGAACTTTCTATTGATTTTTTTTTTAATCCTTCTTTAATCTCCTGGTTGACCCATTCATTCTTTAGCAGGATGCTATTAAGCTTTCATGTATTTGAGTTCTTTCCAACTTTCCTTTTGTTGAGTTCCAGCTTCAAAGTACTGTGGTGCAAAAGAACACAGGAAATGACCTCAATCTTTTATTCCTGGTTGAGATCTAATTTGTAACCTGGGATGAGATCTTTCTGGAGAATGTTCAATGTGCACTGGAGAAGAATGTGTATTCTGATGTTTTAGAGTAGAATGTTCTGAATATATCTCTGTGTTTTTCAAAGCCCTTATTTCCTTGTTGATCTTCTTAGATGATCGGTCCATTGCAGTGAGGGAGGTGTTAAAGTCTCCAACTATTACTGTATTATTGTCAATGCTTCTTTGAGTTTGTTATTAATTGGCTTATATAATTGGCTACTCCCATGTTAGTGGTATAAATCTTTGCAATTGTTAGATCTTGTTTGATAGACCCTGTAATTATGATATAGTGTCCTTCCTCATCTCCTAGTACAGTCTTTGTTTTAAAATCTAGTTTGCCTGATAAAATGATTCGCATACCAGCTTTCTTTTGATGTCCACTAGCATGGTAAATGATTTTCCACCCCTTCACTTTATTTTTTATTTATTTTAAATATTTTAATTTATTTTCAGCGTAACAGCATTCATTGTTTTTGCACCACACCCAGTGCTCCATGCAAACCGTGCCCTCTCCAATACCCAGCACCTGGTTCCCCCAACCGCCCACCCCCCAACCCTTCAAAACCCTCAGATTGTTTTTCAGAGTCCATAGTCTCTCATGGTTCACCTTCCCTTCCAATTTCCCTCAACTCCCTTCTCCTCTCTAACTCCCCTTGTCCTCCATGCTATTTGTTATGCTCCACAAATATGTGAAACAATATGATAATTGACTCTCTCTGCTTGACTTATTTCACTCAGCATAATCTTTTCCAGTCCCGTCCATGTTGCTACAAAAGTTGGGTATTCATCCTTTCTGATGGAGGCATAATACTCCATAGTGGATATGGACCACATCTTCCTTATCCATTCGTCCATTGAAGGGCATCTTGGTTCTTTCCTCAGTTTGGCGACCGTGGCCATTGCTGCTATAACCTTTGGGGTACAGATGGCCCTTCTTTTCACTACATCTGTATATTTGGGGTAAATGCCCAGTAGTGCAATTGCAGGGTCATAGGGAAGCTCTATTTTTAATTTCTTGAGGAATCTGCACACTGTTCTCCAAAGTGGCTGCACCAACTGCATTCCCACCAACAGTGTGAGAGGGTTCCCCTGTCTCCACATCCCCTCCAACACATGTTGTTTCCTGTCTTGCTAATTTTGGCCATTCTAAGTGGTGTAAGTTGGTATCTCAATGTGGTTTTAACTTGAATCTACCTGATGGCTAGTGATGATGAACATATTTTCATGTGTCTGATAGCCATTTGTATGTCTTCATTGGAGAAGTGTCTGTTCATATCTTCTGTCCATTTTTGGATATGATTGTCTGTTTTGTGTGTTGAGTTTGAGGAGTTCTTTATAGATCCTGGATATCAATCTTTTGTCTGTACTGTCATTTGCAAATATTTTCTCCCAATCCCTGGGTTGACTCTTTGTTTTCTTGACTGTTTCCTTTGCTATGCAGAAGCTTTTGATCTTGATGAAGTCCCAAAAGTTCATTTTCGCTTTTGTTTCCTTTGCCTTTGGAGACATATCTTGAAAGAAGTTGCTGTGGCTGATATCGAAGAGGTTACTGCCTATGTTCTCCTCTAGGATTCTGATGGATTCCTGTCTCACATTGAGGTCTATTATCCATTTTGAGTTTATAGTTGTGTATGGTGTAAGAGAATGGTCGTTTCATTCCTCTACATATAGCTGTCCAGTTTTCCCAGCACCATTTATTGAAGAGACTTTCTTTTTTCCACTGGATATTTTTTCCTGCTTTGTTGAAGATTATTTGACCATAGAGTTGAGGGTCCATATCTGTGCTCTCTACTATGTTCTGCTGGTCTATGTGTCTGTTTTTATGCCAGTACCATATTGTCTTGGAAATAACAGCTTTGTAGTAAAGCTTGAAATCAGGTCACCCCTTCACTTTAAAACTGGAGGTGTCTTTGAGTTTAAAATGAATCTCTTATGGGATGCCTGGGGGCTCAGTGGGTTAAAGCCCCTGTCTTTGGCCCAGGTCGTGATCTCAGGGTTCTGGGATTGAGCCCCACATTGGGCTCTCTGCTCAGCAGGGAGTCTGCTTCCTCCTCTCTCTATGCCTGCCTCTTGTGATCCCTGTCTATCAAATACATAAATAAACTCTTCTGGAGAAAAGATGGCGGGGAAGTAGGAGGAGGCACATTTTCAACCTGTACACTAAAGTGAGCTGATTACCTAACAAAGAACTCCAATCACCCATGAAATCAGCCTGAGATCAGAATTATACACGTCTGGATCGCTACAGGGGCAGAAGACGCCAGTGGAACATCGGACTGATATCAGAAGATAAACAAAAGGGGGACAGAGCCACCAGAGGCGACCGATTGGAAAGTAATACCCCTAATACGAGAGTGCCCTGAATCTGGGGACCAGCATTAACTTGGAGACTGGTTGAAAGCGCTCCAAAGGAGCTAAGGATCATGGGGGGAAATTGTGGGAATCGGGGTGGCTAGGGACAGGAGCTTAAGTCCCCGGGCCCAGGACAGCCTTTCCTGGCACTGACCCAGAGAGAATGTGGTGTAGAAACCAGGTCTTGGTCCCTGAGCCACCAGCACGGCCTAGAAAGCGTGGTGTCCAGCTCCTGCAAAGGGCTGGGAGCCTTGCCAGATGGCAGAATGCCAAGCTGTGCTAACAGAGCCTGAGACGTGCACGCCCCTCACCCACCCCTGAGAGAGGTGCGTGAAGGCCCAGCCTGGTGCTCTGGGATGAAAGCCTTGCTACAGACCCTGAGATGCGTGCATGAACCACACCCTCCCCTGAGAGAAGTGCGTGTAAGCCCGGTGCTCTTAGACCCAGAAAGACTAGGCACTCCCAGTCCAGGCCAGCAGGAAAATCTCAGTGTGCAATTGCTGCTTGGAACTTCTCTAGCGGTCTGGAGCTGCCCAGACAGCCGCAGCTGGCATGGTTTTGGGTACAAACAGAAGATCCGGCATCCCCAGGGACCGTGACTCAGAACCTGCTCTGCCAGTGGCCAAGGGGGAAATTACATGGGCTATGCAGCACCCACAGGGGATTAGACTGAGGCTTCTCTCTGAGAGGGAGATCGGGGTGCAGTTTCTTTCCTCTAAACCTCAAAAAACCATCAAAAGCAGTCAAGGTGAGAGAAAAAAAAGTGAACAAACATAAAAACCTTAGGAGAACCAAAGTCTGAAAAAAACTGGTTTCCTCAGAGCCCACACCCTTGAGGGGGACTGGAGGACTTAACTCAGGGAACATCATTGACTGAAAACCCACGTGGCAGGCCCCTCCCCCAGAAAACCAACCAGGAAAGAAAAAAAAAAAAGACTACAAGAGAACCACCACCACTACTTCATAGGACAACTTTTATTTTTAACTCGTTCCCACAATTCTGGTTCATTTTTTTTTTATATAGATAATTTTTTAACCTATTTACCATCACAGTGAGATGTCCAGTACATCAAGTTCCATTATAACCTTCTAACCTGAACTTTTTGATACATTCACCTGTGTTTTTCTTTTGCATTTCTATTTTTTAAATTTGTTTTTAAATTTTAGTTTAGTTTAGTCTAGTTTATTCCTTTTTTATTTTTATTTTCTAAAATTCATATAGAGTTAAACTATAAGGTAATCCCCTTTCCCCAATCAATGCTACCCCTATATGTAAGCCAATTTTTAATCACCCTCTATCTTAGGAAAGTTGAGACCTTTAACAAAGATATCAAGATACATTAGGAAAAATCAAAACAACCTTCCTCACCCACACTGGGAATTTATACCCACTCTCCCATCTATTTCTTCCGCAAGTGTATCTGTTTATTTGTGTTTGTCCTGATAGTATATAAATCTTATACTTGGGGTTCTTTCTGACGAGGTTCTACCTTTATTTGCATATATATATATATTTTTTTCCTCTTGTCATATACTTTTATCAGTCTTTTTGTTTGTCTGTTTTTGTTTGTACACTTCATAAATCTTATCCTGGGGCCCATTTGGGCTGAACCTCCTCTTTTATCTTCCCTTTTTTTCCTGTCTCTCTCTCTCTCTTTTTTTATTTTGCTTTTCTTTTTTCTCTCAGTTGGGTGGGGAATCCGGATTGCTCATAAGCATTCCAGGGTGCACCTTGACTGCACCACAGTGAATACAGCCAGCTACATCCGTTCAGTCATCTCTCACCAAAATGACTAGGAGGAGGAATGTCCAACAGAAGAAAAATACAGAGGATGGGCCTTCTGCAACAGAGCTAATGGCTATCAACATAGACAATATGTAGGAAAGAGAATTCAGGCTAACAATTATCCAGGCAATAGATAGGTTGGAGAAATCCATGGATGACCAAAGAGAATTGATTAGGGCAGAACTGAAAGCCACCAGGGATGAGGTTCACAATGCTCTCAATGAGTTCCAATCTATCTAAATTCTCACAAAGCTAGGGTAACTGAGACAGAAGATAGAATTAGTGATCTGGAAGACAAAGAGATAGAGAGAAAGGATCAGGAGGAAGCCTAGAACAAACAGCTTAAAAGCCACAAAAACAGAATCAGGGAAATAAATGATGCCATGAAACGTTCCAACGTCAGAATTATTAGAATCCCTGAAGGGGAGGAGAAAGAAAGAAGTCTAGAAGATATAGTGGAACAAGTTCTTCATGAAAATTTTCCCAATCTCGCGAATGAAACCAGCGTTCATGTACTAGAGGCCAAACGATCTTCAACCAAGATTATATATTCCAAAAACACATCAAGACACCTGATAGTCAAATTGAGGAATCAGAATTGTAGATACAATCTCTTAAAAACCACTAGGACAAAGAGGCTCCTTACTTACTCCTTACTTAGTCCATCAGAATAACATCAGACTTGTCCAGAGACCTGGTAAGCCAGAAAGGGCTGGAAAGATATATTTAGGATGCTAAATGAGAAGAAAATGCAGCCAAGAATACTTTATCCAGCAAGACTGATATTCAAAATGGACGGAGAGATAAAGAGTTTCCAAGACCGGCAAGGCTTAAAAGACTATGCGACCACCAAGCCAAGACTGCAGGAAATATTAAGGGGGGTTCTATAAAAGAGGAAAAATCCTAAGAATAGCATTGAACAGAAATATAGAGACAATCAACAGGAAGAAAGACTTCAAAGGTAACACGATGTCAATAAAAACGTATCTATCAATAATCACTCTCAATGTGAATGGCCTAAATGCACCCATAAAACTGCACAGGGTTGCATATTGGATAAAACGACAGGACCCATCCATATGTTGTCTACAAGAGACCCATTTTGAACCTAAAGATACACCCAGACTGAAAGTGAAGGGATGAAGAAGCATCTTTAATGCCAATGGGCCTCCAAAGAAGGCCGGGGTAGCAATTCTCATATCAGATAAATTAGATTTTAAACAAAAGACTGTAGTCAGAGATACAAAAGGACACTACATCATTCTTAAAGGGACTATCCATCAAGATGATCTAACAATTGTATATATCTATGCCCCAATATGGGAGCAGCCAATTACATAAGAAAACTGTTAATCAAGATAAAGAGTCATATTGCTATGAATACATTAATAGTAGGATTTCTTAACATGCCTCTCTCAGAAATAGACAGATCATCAAAGCAGAAAATCAATAAAGAAACAAGAGCATTGAATGACACATTGGACCAGAAGGACCTCATAGATATATACAGAACATTCCACCCTAAAACAACAGAATACTCATTCTTCTCAAGTGCACATGGAACCTTCTCCAGAATACACCACATACTGGGTCACAAATCAGGACTCAACCGATACGAAAAGACTGAGATTATTCCCTGCATATTCTCAGATCTCAATGCTTTGAAACTGCAGCTCCATCACAAAGAAAAGTTCAGAAGGATCTCAAAGACCTGGAAGCTAAGACCACCTTGCTTAAGAATGCTTGGATCAAGGAGACCAAAGAAGAACTGAAACAATGGAAATCAATGAGAATGGAGACACTTCGATCCAAAACCTATGGGATACAGCAAAGGCGGTCCTAAGGGGGAAATATATAGCCATCCAAGCCTCCATCAAAAAAAAAAAAATTGAAAAATCCAGAAGACACCAGCTGTCTCTACACCTTAAAGAACTGGAGAATCAACAACAAATCAAACCACTGCACACATAAGGGAAATAATCAAGATTAGAGCAGAGATCAATGAGGTAGAAACCAGAGATACAGTAGAACGTATCAATGAAACAAGAAGCTGGTTTTTTGAAAGAATCAATAAGATTGATAAACCATTGGCCACACTCATCCAAAAGAAAAGAGAGAAAGCCCAAGTTCATAAAATTTTGAATGAAAAGGGAGAGATCACAACTATCACCAAGGAAGTAGAAACAATCATCAGAAGTTATTATCAACAGTTATATGCCAATAAGCTAAGCTACCTAGATGAAATGAATGCATTCCTGGAAAACTGTAAACTCCCAAAATTGAACCAGGAAGAAACTGACAACCTAAATAGACTGATATCTAGTAACGAGATTGAAGCAGTTATCAAAAACCTCCCAAAAAACAAGAGCCCAGGACCTGATGGATTCCCTGGCGAATTCTACCAAATGTTCAAAGAAGAAATAACACCTATTCTCCTGAAGCTGTTTCAAAAAATTGAAGCAGAAGGAAGATTTCCAGACTCTTTCTATGAAGCCAGCATTAATTACCCTGATCCCCAAACCAGGCGAAGACCCTACCAAAAAGGAGAATTTCAGACCAATATCACTGATGAATATGAATGCTGAGATTCTCAATAAAATCCTAGCAAACAGGATCCAACAGCACATTAAAAAGATTATCCACCATGACCAGGTGGGATTCATTCCTGTGCTACAAGGATGGTTCAACATTCACAAATCAATCAGTGTGATAGAACAAATCAATAAGAGAAGAGAGAAGAACTTCATGGTCCTCTCAATTGATGCAGAAAAAGCATTTGACAACATCCAGCATCCATTCCTGATTAAAACGCTTCAAAGTATAGGGATAGAGGGAACATTCCTGAACTTCATAAAAT